GAGGAATGAGCAAGGGAGCTGCTGCAAGGATGAAGATAGGGTGGAGATGAAGGGTGAGAGAAAGAAGTGCAAATGGGGTTCTCAAGAGGAAAGAGGTTTGTGTATAAAAGAGTGGAAATGAAGTGAAATTAGAAATTTACGTCTGTTTACAAACGCCATGAACAAATCAAACCATTCTTGCAAAAAAGTGATGAAAAAGATTGGGATACATTTTATAGTAAAAGTTAGATGTTTTCATGATTGTGAAACTATATTAACTTATCATGATTAGCTAATAGTATGTCGTAAAATGTTAAAACATTTTCTATTACAATGGTTTGTTGCACTTATTAGATATTTACAATTTCAGTGTGTTTTGATCCCTTCTGGGATTTTTGTAGTCTGGTAAACACTAGTCTAGTCCATCCATCCATTTTCTTTATCCAGTACAGCATTGTGGGGGAGCCAGAGCCCATCCTGGCAAGCAAGGGGCGGGCTAAACCTTGAACGGTACTCCAGTCCATTGCAGGGCACACACAGACACACACGCACACAACCACACAGGGGCATGCTTTCCCAGAAGCTAATTGGCCTACCAGCATGACTTTGGACTATGGGAAAAAATATTTCCTTAACAATTGAGTGAACTTTGGACTTACTGCCAAAAATGTTTTTGTGTTTATGATTAGACAAAGTTTTCCTAAGTCTATCTTTAATAGGTGAAAGCAAACTCTCTAGTCTTGGTTATTGTTTACCAAACGCTGCCATGTGGTGAGCTTGACTGTTTGACTTCCTCACAGCAGAAAACTAGGCTCTTGAGTGTTTTGTCCCTGGATTTCAGGATCACTGAAGAAGATACTTACTGTATGACAGAAATCCAAATCTGGGTTTCAGCTGTTTGGTATATGCTACACAGACAATCCCTGAAGCACAGTGCCTACCTTGGATTCCTGGTATTCCATTTGGTCCTTGTAAACCAGGCACACCTCTGGGTCCAGGTATACCCTCTGCCTTACCAGGATCACCCTTTGGTCCTGAAAACCAAAACATACCATTCCCACATCAAATGATACACCTAAAGTGAGCAACAAAACATTGCCAACATTGCGAAATATTAAGAACTGCAGCCAGTTCTGCCCATTTGAACAAGATGACATAAAATTCAAATTTTCTTC